AACTAGTTTCAGGACTCCCAGAATAATGCTTCCCACGCCTGACGTCAAGGCTCAACCGCGATCTCGTCGCCGATATGCACAGGGTAGTACTCGTTCAAAAACCATAGAACTAGGAACGCTATCAGAAATTGAAGAGGATATCTATCATAATAAGGAAGGTAGCTATTTAAAAAGTTACTTGAGCAACTGGTTTCCATGGAATAATGAAGATTTCGTTGAAGCAGCCGCCAGTCAGTCCGGTGTTGGAAGTCAGGACGATTCAGCGGTGAATGTACGATGGCCCAAGAATGGAGCGGTCAAAAGCATCGCACGACATTTCAGTGAACGTCTGAAATCAGAGCAAGGAAAGTTTCCACATTCATCTTTGTCACTGAGCAAAATTTACTCCATAGAGAGGTTTGAACTGGAACTAGTACCTTGAAGAAACCAGTCATTGTTTTATGTTCTCGTCCATTGTCACTCTTACTCTACTTTTCTGTACAACAAGTCGATTCCGATGAAGAATGCAACTGATATCTACCTTCACGTTTTATTTTGCATATAGTGAAGCATATTAGTAGCATTTCCAAGACTCAAACCCAGCCCAATCATTATAATGTCTCTAATTTCAGTTGAAAGGCCTATTTCAAACGGCAGTAATGGTAATTCGGGTGGTAGTAACGGTAACCTCCAGTCGAAGTGCGAATTCAAACCGGACCAAACTGACTTCCGTCAACAGCTGATGGATTGTACAAACCGAAGGCGGGTGCAGTACATGCCTGAACGCAGCTGTTCTCGAACGGTGAGCAGTCTTCTACTGATTTATTATCCAAACTGACTTCCGTCAACAGCTGATGGATTGTACAAACCGAAGGCGGGTGCAGTACATGCCTGAACGCAGCTGTTCTCGAACGGTGAGCAGTCTTCTACTGATTTATTATGTAGCTGTTTTTGCATATGATGCTCTGCACTTCGCTAATGACTGGTAATCGTTCTTATCTTCAAGAATAGTAAATCGTGAGTAGTTTATGGCCACGAATATTGCACTGCCACGAACACTCCATTGCACGGAGAGCGTGTTTTCCAGCCCAGGGGTTTAGAAAGATCTCAGGACTCACCTCTGACCGCTCATTTTCTCTTTCGTAGTATTCCATTTTAAATTATCTCCGACTAGACTGTAGAAACAAAGGTGAATGTAACGATATTCAACTTCTCTTAAATCATTTTTCATGTGATCCCAACCAAGCAAGAACAGATACATAGAATCCTATGAGTCACCTCCCTCTCTTGGCCAACCAAATTTATAGTATAGCATTACATAATTCGAACAAAATCTTTGTGAATTCACCAATTTTATTCTCCTCCACTCTTAGAGATTGCGTTCAAGCCAGTGTCGAAAAGGCCTAGTGAAAGAAGACTTATTAGCAGCTCATTTTCCATCCACGTATTCGGCTTTCATTTGGACCGGTGATGTAACTGGAAGGCACACTTAACCTCTACAACAGCTTAATGGATCAGCCGAAATGGGAACCGCTGTTTTTACTTCCCTAGATGAAATCAATAGCAAATAAATGACCCCATAGAAGGGGGTGGGGGAATTGTTGGAAGCGGGGTTCCTATACAAGGACTTGCGATGGCCAGCTGATGGACAAGTCAGTGCTTTTATCCTCCTAAACGAGCCTGGTGCCAATCAACCGACCTCGGAGCTATGGAAGGCTTGGTTGGCCTGGCGGATATCGATTCGGGATTCGAACCCGTGACAATGCTCGTGAGATAGTGCGCTACTTGCCGCTACACCACCTCCGATTTCAATATAATATATGGATATATCTATACTGCAATTTTACTTGGCCCGACATATGGCTAGGTATGGTTGAGATAGTGAGCTCCTTATTGTAATACAAGTTTATCTGCCCATAGTAGCGCGGGCACAACAGCAAAGAACTGATAAGAATATTGAACTCTAGCCCCCATACTTTAGGCCTATGAGCTTGGTTGGATCGAACGTGAATTTATGGGGGAAGAACAACCTGTTGTGGGGATGCTCCGCCATTCGCATCGTGTTCCTCCTCAGGTTGCATTCATTGACCCACATTCCTCTTCTCTGCTCATT